TGACAAAAAATTTCAGTATTCCTTATTATTATTAAATTCCGTTTGAAATATTTCTGTATTTGACTACGCTAACTGTGCGTAGTTCTTTTCTTAAAAACAGGAAACGTGCATTGTTTTTTGTGCGAGAACTAACGAGCCAGAATAATGTGCGGCGAATTGTATAATTTTCTAATTTGTATTTTTCTTTTAATCCGCGAAACTGATCTGATCTTACTGATGGATTAGAAATCATTTCCGGATTAAGCAGATTCATAGTGTTTAAACCGTGACTACTTCCTAGAATCAGATAATTATTACCTATATTATTTTCTTACACGGAACGCAAAAGCAACTAGGGATTCGTGAGTCGATAGATATCATTCTTTGTTTCATCCGAGGCTTCATAAAAATATAATGAGTACATGTTAAAGTTTTTAAGTGCAATCTTAATTTCCGAAACCTCATTCAGAAATTAATTCATTCATTGATTAAAAATTAATTCAGTTCAAGCTGAAGTCTGATGTTTCTGTTAATCGAATAACAATTGACTTATCGGAACAATACAGACATAGGAGATGACCTCGAGAATATCGGCTCTTAAGATAATTTTGGAGTTGGAGTCGGACCGTCGGTTCTGACCTCACAACCTCCGCTCAGCTTCGCCAGAAACTGTAGATAATCAGGTCTGGCTGCGTCCCCCGCCTGGCATCCGCGCCGATTGATGGATAGACCATGTGTTACGACACGCGCACACAACAATAATCCACGCTTAATAATCGCGGTCAATTATTGCGCTTCATATTAGATTGCATAATCTGGAACGTAGCGTCGTCGTTGTCGTCGTCCCATAACGTCTTGTCGATCCGGTCCGTTCGGCTCCGAGATTTAGATTTAGATTTGGTAATTTGAAGGCGGAAATTGATGGACCAGCCTAGGCTAGTCCGTCGACAAATTAGCGACAGATGAGAGTTTAGACGGAGACGTATTCGATGCAAGGAGATAGCGATTCCTAGAGATCCTCGACGCTTGAAGTCGACATAGGCTTGTCTGTCTTTGAATTGATTTTAGGAACGAGGACACATGATTGGGGAACGGAGTATGACACGTCTGGGATAATTGTTTTTAAAGCGGTTTTGAATTTATACTTATTCCGTTATCAGGAACCACATCTATGACTTTTTACTGTCTTGCATTATCACGTCTAACCAAATTTAGGTCGTGAAAGAAAATGATAAAATGACATGAGTAAGATACTGAAATAATTTTAGAACATATATCTAAATATTTAAGTAAATAGTTTCCAATTTTGAGATTGCTATCATACTCTTAGTGTTGTATCAGCAAAAAGTTCCTTTAACTGGTTGCATTCTTATTGCATATACGATACCGTTCCCCTCGCTACACCGCGGCGGTTGAATCGCTAACGAAGAATAGCCTCGCGATCGCTTATCAACGATATAGTAACATTAACCGTGCCACGTGCTACCGCGGAACGTTACGAGAATTGTAACGAGATTCACGCTTCCAGAATAAACGAAGATAATTCCGGTAGAGATGTGATACGTTTGCAACTTTGTAATCGTTACGTAAGAACCTGTGCGACAGTAGGAAGTAAGATGCTGGCTTATTATACTCCTAAATAATGCGAGGGAATACAAAAAAACTAAACATCGAACGCTCTCTATTAATGTAGTTTATTTAAATTGACACCTGCAATACAAGAGATTGATTGCTGATCACTGGAATATTTTGCCAACCTGACATTCAACATAAAACACGAGTCTCCAACAATTAATCTAACAATATAAAAAGCATTTAAGTGAGAAGTTAACCGGTATCTCGTTTATCGTTTCAGATTGAGGATGTCCTCAAAGAGGAAGTCACCACCAACGAAGCTATCGGAGGGCGGGGGCGGCACGGGTACAGTGGCAGGCGCCAACGAGGAAGAAGAAGATACGACTTCATCGGTGACCGGTGGTCCCGGTGGCGAAGTAGCCGTCGGTGAAGAGGGTTCCACCACCCCTGTCGATATCGAGGAGTGTTATTCTCACCAAAGGGGAGGTGATTGCGAGTCGTCCGGTTGTTCGTCACCGGCGACCACCAGCGAGCCGGACCTCCGCGACTCGCCATCGCCATCGTCGAATTCCGTGCGAACCAGCAAGCGACAGAGGGTCGTGCTGTCCAACCAAGATACCCTAACGCCCTATCACTATCCTCACCATCACCACCATCACCACCACCATCATCACCATCACCACACGAACACATCTTCTTCGTCGGGTGGTGTCGTGGAACCGGCCAGCTCGTCCGAGTGCGGTTCGCCGCCCACACCTTTAACCGTCGACCCGTACTACCCTAGTAATCCTCATCACAACAACAACAATACCGTGACGCAGAACAACAACAATAACACTGCTAACGCTACCACAGTGGGTACCAAGAGATCCATGGACGACGTGTTGAAAAGGTTAACTTGCAAGATGAACAGCGAGTCGCTGTCGCTGCAGGACGACACGAGTAACAACAGGCGGACCAGCCCTCCACCCTCGTCCACGCCGAGCGGGCACAACACGCACTGGTTAGTGTTCAAGTTATTCCTCCATAATTCATCAGTTATTTTGCCTAAAACAGCCACCCACTTGCACGCACAAATGGAATTCTTTGGAAAATGTGAAAATCGTTGTTCTTTAAAATATTTCGTCTAGTCACTATAAAGAGACTTGACAGTCCATTATGAAAATTTAATTTTTTCACGTATGCACGTCAAGTATATCCGGAATCGTTTTGGGTAGCTGCAGTATTTCTCTGTTCATTATATTGTAAAAATGATTGATGCTACGGAATTACAACTACACGACGGTAACGCAAACCGTAGGTATCCACTCTGTGTAAGTAAATATCTTCCGCGCAATTTAGAAAGATCAATGTTCCTTTACTGGAAAATGATGCAGCACTGGCTGTCGCATATCAGCTATTTACAATTTTCCTTTCTCCGATTCGGCTGCGATAGTGGGCGACATTAATTAAACGGCGCCAGGAAGTGGCCAGTCAGTCGAGGGAAATGAGGCCGGCTCCATTGGCGAACGTTCCTTCCTGTCTCTCCAATTCCCTGTGCGAAGATCTGTCAAGGTCCGACACCGTGTCGTACATTTCGCCCGCATTACGCAACGTATCTCTTTTTAATTAACCGATATTGTCTACTCCAGCTGGCATCCGTGGCGGACGTGTCCATTACAATGTTCCAATCGGTGCTCCTTTAATCTCCTATCGTTTTCGAAGTAGCTATCGCACAACACTCATACATGCAAATATGTAATTTTACGTAACAGATAAACCGAGCCTGAAAGGTGAACTGTGAATGCCCCGTGCAATGTACTTCGTTTTTTAACAAGTTAATCGGAATTGTAGAGTCAATATTTAGTTGAATGAATGCTAATGAATTTAATTTATTATTCAACAATTGGAATTTTTAATTTTAAATTTTTTCGAACGCGAATTAAAATATTTTTTATGAACAAGATTATTGTACATCGCCGTCGGTTTACGAAAGAAACGCTAATAGATTTTGTGACCGATGTTGAAAAGTACAGACAGCTGGCCGTTTCCTCAGTATCGGTCGCAGTGAATAACAACGGGAACCGCTTAAATTTGGTCCCGCGAGTGGTCCACAAAAGCGTCCATTGTTCGGGAACGACAAGATCCACAGATTCCAGTCGTAAACCGAGTCTTCGTTACCGAACGAGAGATCCATCCGTGAAATACAAAGAGGAGGCGAGCGTAAAGGAAATCGTTGGAAGACGGGAGCGAGGGCCGGACAAAAAAACAAGGGGTCCACAGACAGGGAGCCTGAAAATATCCGACTTCTCGGCTTGAGGACAAAGAAACGCATCCGCGGAGAGGACGATAAGAAATCGGACGGGTCCGACGTTTCATTCTGAATTACTTATTACGTTTCGCTTTTTCGTTTGTCATTTGGCGAAAGTTAAAACTGTTCGAGGTGGCCAGCGTGAAAAGTGAATACAACGAGGTGTGACAGCGTCATATGGTGACTTGTCTAAATTCATTAGAGATCTGATCCCTAGTTTTACTGATCTATTATTTATTGAAAATACTGCTTTGAATTGATAATTCTCTCTAATATACATCTCCATGTTAAAGATCACTAACACGTTTTTATTAGCATTCACGTTGACTTTTATTACAATTCCAAATTTGAAGCAAAAATAAAATTAACATATATCGTAACCTTATTAGCAGGAAATAAAAAGTTTACATATTCTTACGTCAGTTTACATATACTCGTTATTTAAACGTGTACCTACTTACGTATTATATTTTGTAAATAATTTGTCAACGGTTTATCGAATACCTCGTACAATCATAATTGTCTGAATAGGCCATAAAGAAAGGAAAGTGAAACGAATGAGATTCTACGTTTATAAGTTGAACGCACGTGTATAAGTTATCTTACAGTGTGTAATTAGTTTATATGCAATGATATCGTACAGTCACGTAATAATAATTGCCCTGTGTAATCAGCCTGTGAATGAATTGATTCTTTGTATCGGTACGACAGCCACGCCCGCGATTTTTCCGTTTCTACTGAATATCCCTCACACAATGTACAAAGTCGAGAATACAGAGTAAAGATTATCCGCACGTGGCTAATTATGAGTTGCATTTCAATGACGGTTGATCTCAAGGAACGTTCCTTAGGAAATTGATTGTGCATGTCGTGCATCGAAAGGAAGCGGTAAATATCTTTCACATCCGGTAGCAAATGTGCAGGGCTAACGCCCAATAGATAATCTCTTCCTCGAAGAATGAACAATTCTTTTTTTTTGTTTATTTAGTTAGAAAATGTTCAATTTTTATTTTTGGGATGGCCACTTGTTTTTGTTCGATAAATAATTTTCCATTATCTTTCCATTGCAAATTCAGAATATCTTTTAATTTCCTTATATCAGATCTTCTGTACGTAATTTGTCTTCATTAATTGTGACAATGAACAATTTTACTTGAAGATGAGTTACCAATTATTAGATTTAAATATTTAACATATAATATTGAATTAAAGTATCAATATATTCATAAAGTGCTAAGTGTGTTTTCTTTGCAATCTGGATTCCAAATCGAAGAATGAAAATAAATTCACCGTGTACACGACCTTCCCAACTAAGAATCGGAGTCATCTGCCAAATATGCCACGGTAATTCGTCGACGTGGATATCATCCGTTCTATAATTCACTCATTCCCATTCTCGCTACAACGAGCCATCAACAACGCGGCGAGTCCGTGAAACATACCGCCGATGATTGAAACAAAACTGTCGCGCACGAAATCCGCTCCGACTGGTAACATCGGACCTGTTCGCGAAACGTGAACGGGTACGTGGCGGAACGCGTTCCCCACAGCGCGGCGGCGTGTAATCATTGAAAAGCTAACCGGTGAACTTGGCAAACGTGGACCAGCAGCAGGACGGAATCGTGCCAGTTCGCTGCCCACACGCCGCGCGGGAATATATCGGGGCCAAAATTCTTCTTCCAAAATTCAGCCAACTGTACGACAACTCGCCACTTACGTGACGTTCACCCGCTTTTTGGGATACATTCAATTCTGGACGCGATGGTGCGCGTTCCCTTCTTAGGTTCCCGATATATGAATAGGTATTAGTATCTATGTATTTGAATAAAAAATTACATATTTTTCAACAGTAAATTTTACAATAGTATACCCCAGATTGTTTTACTTCAATGGAATTAGACGGAACCGTACTTTAATGTAGTAGTCGCGAAAATTAGTTTCATTACGATCTTTTTTAAATTTTAACTACATATTCATGCCACTATTATTTATGGATGGTTAAAATTACAAGGGAACTTGATCCAATACGATGTTATATGCCAGATTGTATATAAAACAAATTATTTTTATTATATTTAATGCTTGAATTTCATAGCGCATCTTTTAGATATAAAAATTGGTGTTTGTAGTAATTTGTGATCAGAATATTATTGTTTCTATGAGAAAAATGTATAAACGTTCAAGATTTGTTCGATAATAGAGGCGTTGTTATTTTGTAGTTACTCTTTCTGCAAACACATCAAATGCCTTTCAAACTAAATCAAACAACACCGGCATTATTCGACGCCCGACGCAGATATTATACTGCGAATCATTAAATTGTAAAAAGAAATGAGTCAGTAATCGATAATAAATTTGCCACGTAATTTTTACAATTCAACTCTGTTTGGATTAGACGAAATTAAAATAAAAAGTAATGTTACTAAATGGATAAATTAAAAGATTTATAAGTTTCGCATCACGTTGAAAAAGCGAAATGGGAAATTGAATTTGGAGAGAAGAACATAACACAGTTCCCTAAGCTGTGGTGCTACCATAAATAGGGGCGGACGTGGAATTATTAAAACAGCCTCGTCATATTTAAAAAAAAAAGAACCCGTACATTATTATTACACGCTCTACTTTTGATACTAATATCTGCTTGCCAACTTCCACCATGCGTGTCACGCGTGTGCAAGAATTTAATGATATAAAACGAGAGTACATGCCGCAGATAATAGTATCATTCATTTCATAATAACCGAATTTCGTCCGAAATTACGTTACATATGGAAAAATATAACGAAAAAAGATAATTGAGGAGTAACTGTCATTCACGCGTACCGCATCTACGTTTCGAATTTCTTACACTCTAAAATCTCGTGAAACTAAAGAATGAGATGAACTAACTCAATGAATCAGAAACTGAACGTATCCGAATAATTTTTATCAATTCTATTTTATCATAAAATCTTTAAAATGAAAAGTCCTCATTCCACATTATAAATTTTATAATCGATTACAGAAGCAATGTTCACCCTGTTCTTATTTTTTATTTAGCCCTGTGAATCACTTTATTTTTGACCGATATGTTCGCTGAAAATAGGTACGTGTTGTAAAATTGGCCTGATAAAAAAAGTAACGCAAGGGACAAGATCTATTTTTGACCAGTTGGAATGGCTAGATCGTACAAGCATATAGTGTCGCCGCGGGGATGATAATAGCGACAGAATGAGCCTTTTGTTGCCTGATACCGAGGTCAACAGGCGCGAATAGAATCTTGTAACCGCCCACCGAGCGTTATTATCGACCTATGAAAGAAAGTCACGCACAGCAAGGGTCTTTCATCGGCCGCGCAGGGATAAAAGACGTTTCTTCGATAAGTAACGGTTTCATGATGCGCGATTTTTATACGCCGCGCCGCTACGATGAGCCGCCAGAAACGCATACACGCCGTAGCTGTAAGGACTAATTAAATTCCTGCATGACATGTGCAATTCATCCCCCTTCCTTTCACTGTTCTTTCACGTTTTTTTAACAACATTTTTCATCTGCTATACTTCATTGCCTCCGCTACCCCCGTGCTTATTTATTCCTTTCGATCGAGAGGAATACAGTACGATGACCTGTGTAAATTGGTAGTTCTTAAAGTTCCTAGATTACAGATTACTATCGACACGTTTCATAAGGTGAATTCTTCTGGGCAGTCAGAAATCCAGAGTCCATCTACAACTCGGTCTTTAAAATTTGACCGGCCCTTTAACCTTTGACCCCGTAAGAAACGCCATACGGCGTTGTGAACAAAGCGCGATGTGTATATATTGCCCTAGATTCCGCGAGCCACGGCTCTTTCAATCCTCGTCCTTATCCTCGATCCATGATGTCCTTCACGATCTCCAGACATGCTCCCGCCTCTGTACCACGAGTTCATCTCGCTGCCTCTGCACGGGCTGGCACAATGCGTCCGTATCACTTATTCGTGGTCCATTTTCCTCGATATAAAAGAGATAGGAACGAGAGCTCCGGGCATAGACCAGGAGGGCACTTCGGGGGGAAGAAAGTGGTCGGGACGTGGGACGCAATCGGTGCGAGCAAGCGAGAATACCTCCGGCGAATGCGGAGGGAACGCAAGTATAGAAGGACGTTGGAAGAGGATAGAACCGGAGCACCCCATCACGGGTGCAAACACTCGGGCTACCGTGATTGCGCGGCCGCGACCCTATCTATTATTCACCTGGCTCCCGGCCCTATGTACGCGGACCACTATCCCATTCCAGAGGTCAGCAGCAGCAGAGCTACTGGAAATTCTTGTTCCGCACGCGAATAACTCCGTATACGTGCGCCGGATGTATCTATGCCTACCGGTCGTCCCTCTCGCTCCCTTATATACCTCTGTTTCCGCGTCTATCTGTGCACGCCACGCAAACTGCACAGTGGAATGAAAATCGAGGGACCTCCCTTCCCGTGTACATACACGCAGGAGAGAAGCGTAATTGACCGTGGTCTGATGGTGTACGTTGCAGTGGAGGCGTCGCTAGCGTGGCGAACAGCGTGCCACCCTCGCCGCCGGCATCTGGCAGGATGCAGAACACGGAAGGACAGGTACAGCAGGACGGGACCTCCGCCCTGCACAGGGTCCTCTGCGCGGAAAGCTTCGCGGAGAAGGAGCGCAGGCTCTCCGAGATGATCCTGCAACTGCAGTTGCTCAGGGAACAATTGCTGCAACAGCAAGATCAATCGAAGGTAAGAGACATTTTACACTAATTTTGTTTATTGAAATTGTGACGGAAGATAGATCATGTTGGACTGTGAGACATTCTGTATTTTATAGGAGAATTCATGTACATCTGTTGCATGATTTACGTGCAAAACGCAATATTTTTTTGTTTGAAATGGACTTATTTCCTTTTCTATTATCCGTCTCATCGAAAACAGACTATCTGATCCGACACTATCTATTTGTAAAAAACATTGATAAAAAACAAACAAATACAAAACGTATTGAGTACAATGCTCCGAAATAATCGCGTAGATTACCAGAACCTACTCGAGCGAATCGATTTTGCACGAATCATAGATTGCACATCTACGAGTAGCTAGGCGTTAGCGCAGGAATTATTTTTGGCTAAATCGAGGCCAGCAGAGAAATTGATTGTCTGAGACATCGCGGTTGGCAAGCTAATATCGCCGATACAAAATTCAAAATCCACGGGCGTCGTAACGAGTTAATGATAACCGCGTATTAGCTACCCGAGATTAATCGATCCGACGTCGCGCGACGAAGAGGTCTTCGGTGAGTACCGGGTCTCTAAATTTACATATTGGCGTACTCGGATTTGCTGAGATCGGAAAGACGCTATCAATAGCCGATAATTCGTCTCGTACTATTAAACCGTACCGCGATCAAACTCGCGATGGTGTCACACCGTGACATTTATTTTAGTCCCGCGGGGATCCGTTAATCCTCGGCTGATCAATCTCGTTCCTAATGCGTGTTCCGGTTAACATTTCACCGTGTGTACGGTCATGCACGGAACGGGGATTTAATTAGCATAACTGGCGATGACGTAGTCTTATCGTTGAAACTTGACGTTGTGGTGCGGCTGGCTCAGATCTCCTTCTAGTAGGATTGAAAATTGAATCTGTTCAGGGAGGAAACGATGTGCGAATAAATTGCACGTGAGTATCTACGAGCGAGTGAAAAATGTTGTGTCAACTCATGTCCGATTCGCAGTAGCTGTAGAAATACGCGTGGTTTGAAAATATTGACGTGCTGATACTTATATGATCGTGATGTTCGGCTCTGAGCGTAAGAAAATTATTAGCCCGATGTTTTAATGATATTATGGTAATACGTGTCGCGTTTATCAAACAGATGATCCCATTTTGTCAATATGTCCATAAATTTCAGAATTCAACGGAGAAACTTTTTACTCGCCAAAACGTTTCATTTATTGGTCCTAAATGGTGTGTAATTTATTTATAAAGAACCGCTGATTCGATTGCTCAAAAGATACTTCGTTACATGTTTAAATAACCTTTTTTTACCACAGTTAAATATAATTCTGCTTATAGTTTCGCTAAAGTGATCATTAATTTCGCGAGACGAAGAACGGTGGAATTGCTAACGAAAGAATAAATGATAAGGATCGGACCAAGCGTTTTTAACGTCCATTCGCGTGCATTCACGTAATAATGAACGATTATGTAGACCGTTGCAAAACCGTTGCTGATAATATATCTCGGGAGGAACAAGAGATATTTACCTCATTTACGTTTTAATTAAATGCGGGAAGAACAATAGCAACTTATGGTATATTAATTCAAAAATATTCTGCTTTATGGAAAGTAAAAAGAGACTAAGGAAAATTCAGTATTTATATTCTATTCTATAAATAAAGCAAATTAACATTAGAGAGAAGGGGAACAATTGCATTAGAAAACACAAGAAAACATTAAGAATTACACAAGGAAACGTTAACATTGAGTCATCGTGTGTTGCGCATTAAAACCAATGAAAGAGAGAAGCTGCCCGACTTCTTCGAACTCTCAAAATCCGCATCTGAATTTGCAATCTTGTACACCGCGAGAGATGATTTTCGTAGAAGCGGAGCCGTGGTTTTCCTTGAAGGCACGCGCCTGTTCCGTGCAATGCGTCATACGCGAAATCGTTGCATTCTCAGCGAGCCTTCCCCCGCGATTCATCTTTCCCGTTCCCCCGACTCTCCTATTTGTCAAAGAATAGCATACGCGTTACGTGATTCCTCGGCGATTGCGAGTCTTTTGACGTGGACAGGACGCGACGCGCGGACAATGCACGATTCTCGAGACGACGACGCCGTCCCATGGACGATAGTATCGGCAGGATCGCGATGACTGGATGCCAACCGCGGCCTGAAAAACCGTGCGGGTCATCGCGCGTGCAAGTGAGAGAAGCTCCGCGCGCCGTTCGCTCCCATCGCATCGCGGACAAAACCTGTCTGCCTGCAAAAATGCGAGCGCGTGCAGATAATGCCGGCTGTATTACCGTTATTATGCCAGTCATTTACGTGCGCCGCACACACTCGTGCGTACCCCCTAATCTCTCTGATCCGCCCCGCTGTCCCGCTAAATTTGCCCCGCGGCGAGATCCTGCGAACACGTTTAAGCAAACACGCTCGCGCTGGTGGGCCCGAGGGGAGTGTAGGTATATATATAATATGCACCGACGATATGAGTGTATGTACCTGGTCGGATACGGTCTTTCGCGCATTTCGACGCTATAGGATTGTAGGTAGCTGCGACCGTGTCGTATTGAATTGAGGAGTGACAAGAGGCTCTGTCAGATTATGATTCATGTCGTTAAAGCTAGAAAATGACGAAGCTACTTGGCTACTCGTTATTGATACTGGGTATGCTGTATTTCGGTAGACCGAAACTATCTGTTAGAATAAGAAACGTTTTTGACGTGTTAAGTGCTAAACTGATAACAGTTGTCTTTCTTCGATTTTCTTTTCAAAGAATTTAACATTGCGTTGAGTTTATTCTTCCTCTTCTTATTGTTACAAAAGACCGTTTGTTTGAATATTAGCAAACATCTTAAAAACGACTGAGTACTTACAACAAAATTTATACAGTTCTTACGTGCTCCGGAATGTCATAAAATATATTTGCAAAGCGAATAGCATTATTATGAATAATTATTGGCTCGAAAAAGAGTGAGGACAGGTTTTTATCTTTTTGTCAATATTTCTTTAACACGATAAGACTGTACAAGAGCTGTTTTATTTAAACTATTATGTAATCAATTCTTTGGAAATCAGTTTGTGGATTTTTCAAAATTGATGACCTATTAGTGTAAAACGTGTTTTTACGTATTTTTCAAATTTGATGAATTATAAATTTGATTTTTATTCGCAATTGAAGTTATCCACAAAAATGCCTACATATCAGTTTTAGCTCTTTTCTTCAATCATCCATTAAGAGGTTGAAAGGATGTGAAATGTATACTTACAAAATCCTCAATATCTTTCAAGTTCCATGACTTGGCGACTTGGCTTTTGTCCATGAAATATTTCTATTCCGTACATCCAGTGCTGGGAAAGCCGAGTCGGGAATGCTAGGAATCTATATTTTAATAAATAAGCCACTCGTTTGTCAATAACCCTGCAGAGAAGATTTCGACGAAACGATTCGAAAATCTCCTCCTTTGAAAGTTCAACGTCATTGTCGGTACTATTATTTGCGATCTACTGTGGCGTGTGGCTCGACTCGCGAGGGTGAAGAACGTTTTCTCGTCAGCCATTTCATCGGCATCGAGTGAAAACGCGTTTGTCGGTGGCGTTTGCGCGGGCAGCGGCAGCCGCCGCCTCGGGAGTTAGCCAACGTTAAAACGGAAGTGCGACCGTGAAGGAAAGAAGAGGCCGGAGAGCCTGATATCATGGAAACGGAACGGAGACAGGCGAAGTGAGCGAGTGCACGAGGTACAGAGGATAGAGAGGATGTAGGAGGAAGGCGGTAGTCTGAACGTTCTCCTCCTCTCGAGTCCAGGAGGGCGTATAGTAATGTTCGACTTGGCAGACTCGGGGTCGAGTGGGGATATCCCTCTCCTCTGAAACCCTCTCTCTGGCTCTCTTCCCCCTTGCTCGTCATTCTTTCTCTCTCTTTTACCTTTTCCACCTGTTATGCGACTCCGTGCCATGCTACATTGGCACAGGTGTGCGGTCACGTACAGTCGTTCTCGAACGCACACACTTCGTCGGAAGACTACACCTTCGAGTCTGTTTCCTCTTTCTCCCGCGAAGTTCGTGCCCCACGTTCCCTCACTGTTCGGTCCTCCTCGTCTTCTTTCCACGTTCCGTTACTCCTTCCCTTTTATTTTATTTTATTTTATTTCGCCGTTCTTCTCCTCTCGTCCTTTTGCTTCCTGTCTGCATCCTCTGCCTCGCTCGTTCTCGCACCGCACCGCGCCGTACCGGTTCTATTTCGCTCGAAGGAAAGAGCAAGCGGACGCGTGGGCGTTCAGCTTCCTTCGTCCCTCTTTCCCGAGGCGCCTACCTTCCTATACCTTCGCGTGCACCTGTGCAGGAGCATATTGTCACGCCCAGTGGCTCGGGCGCACGGCAATACATCGCTACCAACGATCAGTCTTGTTTTATTTGCCGCCCTGACCAAGCTCTCCCGCCGAGTAACGCAGTATTATACTTTCCTACTGGCTTACCTGCACTTGAGGCATCGTAAAATTCGGCTGCGACTACTGTATTACAGTTAAATTTTCATGGTTAAGGGGAAATGTTCGATGGATCAATGAAAGGAAGTACATATTTTATGTGTCTGAGAATTCATCTTCGTTAGTCGTCTAATAATCTTAAATAATAGTCATTTTTAATAAATTGTGGATCAATTATACAGGGTGATTCGCCAGATCAGTCACCACTTCGATTTATGTCTTTGTGACTTTTATGTCACTTGTGACTAAAAGTTCATAAAGGATTGAATGATTTTAGTAAATATTCTAATACTAATTTTTTTCTTCGTTGGCAGTGCTAAATTCGTACGAAAATCATTAATAGTTTGTTAAATTGGGCACCAATAGATTCCTTTTGATATCGTTTACAAAAATCTATTAATGTACTTATGGTTAAGAACAATTAGTTCAGGAGATATTTTCAATTTAATATTGTCACAAAATCATAACTCTAATGCTGTAATCATTCTATGTGGGCAGCATTTCAAAATGAATTGATAACATGCCGTAGAATACA